TTATGGCGTTAATTGCATAATAAAAGTCTGCATTACAGGTTGATTTTCCTCAATAATTACTCACGAGCGTGGAGATAAAATCGCACTTTGTGGGTGGAGGCCCCCACGCTCAAAGACAGCTTGGAGGCTCCGCGGAGGAAGCCGCGTTTGTCATTGGGATGGAGAGAATGCTTGTACCGCTCTGATCACTGGCACGTGTCGTGACGGCTACTGCGAGATCCGACCGTGTCCTGCAAGATCCGACCGTGTCCGTCCAGTGCTAGCCGAGCTGCATTGGCTTCCGGTTGCCGAACGAATGCATTATACTAAGGTCTCACTCATTACACACAAAGTGCTTGCCGCAAATGAACCACGATACCTCGTTGATCTCGTCAAGGAACATAAACCACCATCACGCGAACTCCAGTGGTCATCCTCAAAACGGCTTTTGGCTCGTCGTTGAACAAAGACGGTCACCGCATCGCGCGCTTTCAGATCTGCTTCTGTGGCCGTCTGGAACGCTCTTCCTTCCGATATTAGGAAGCCACTTGAGCGATGCACTTTTAAATCATCATCTAGATTGAAAACTCGCGTTTTTTAGACTGCTTTTGCGTTTAAGTGTTTGTCCTTCCGGCTTAGCACGGTTGGCTACGTACAGTGCCAAGGAGCGAAACAGTTAAGACTTCTCCACAAATCTGGCTGTCGCCGTTGAAGCTAGTTGTAATTACTGGCGAAACGTCGTACTCAGATTGTAAATGTTGTGGCTTGGCTCTCCAACACACCGGTGTTGCTGTACAAGTGACGAATTTGGCACGTTCTGTTTACGTGGCAACCCTTACTAGTTGGCTGTGTCGAGTGGTGGCGGGTTTTAATGACACATTTATATATTTACGCGATCTAACCCAAAAAACCTCTATTATGAGTGCGAAAGAAGTTCAACATACATGCACCACGACGCCGCCTCGCCGCACATTAATTAAGCTAAGCCTCGCGCTTTCCCCCGCCACTTTGTTTACGCGTGGTGTGTGCCAGTTGATGGTTGCAGCAGCTCAGACCGCATGCACGGGCGTGCGGCCTTGCCAGGATGCATTGGAAAGTGCTGCCAACTATTTCTGCTTAAATGGGTTTGTAATTTAGTGCTGCTTACTCTGGAAAAATATTTAGTATTTTAAAGCGCTCTTAGTGCATCCAACCAGTTAAAATAGCTAATTGAGATGCAGGACCAAAGCGATAAAAGAACAAGAGTGATTGCGTATTGGTTTATGATAAATTGTGTTTAAAGTTATTTATGCCCTTATTTGTTCATTAAATTCAAAGCAGCTTAGGTTAAATATCTTAAAAGGTTTAAGTTCGGTGAGGATTATGGTACGAAGCATTGTGTTTCCCGGGAGTATATGAACCACCAATTGCCCGTGGTATAATCTGTTGTGTTATAAGTGATGTGCCCTTTACAAAAGCACATGGGACATTTGAATCGTATCATAAATCACACGACAGGTCCTGGCAGCCCCTGCTATCGCAGACCTACTCTTCTGTGCACATTGCTTTTTTTTTACTTATTCACTTAATATTCTGCGACTCGACCTTACAAGGCCGATAAAGTTGAGTTGCGCTCCGGTACAATTCCCACGTTCGCTCCTGCGACAGATGCCATTCCATCGTGGAGTAAAAGTTGCTCGCATTTGGGAGGTTGTGGGTTCACGTCCTCGTTTGGGGGGGGGGGGGGTTGACTCAGCCAATCATCCCTCCTGGGTGGGCAGTATGAGTACCGCTTTGTGATGGAAGTCAACGGTGGTTGTCCTCTGGAGAGACTTGCCCTTGCCATAGGCATGTGGATTTTTTTTTCTCCCCACTCACTTGCCCTCAGGGCTGTAAATGGAAGATGAGCACCAGCGCCTCGCTGCATATTGAGCATCAAATCACTTTGCGAGTGTTTTCAGCTGACGCTGCTGCTGCGCTAGGCCATGCCGTGCGGACGGTCACAGGCCGCACACGTTTGCGTAGGTCAGACACCCACCTGCATGCCGAAGAGGTGGTCTCTTGAAGGCAGTGCAGCGAATGGCTCTCGGACATATCTGTGCGGACCTTTGATTATGCCATTAGTTGTATTTGGGACCCAAACATAACTTGACGGTTTGGCCACGTATCCGAGCAGGAGCCCTCGAGGCGTAACAAAGAATGAGGATCATTGCTGGCATTCACGCGCTGTTAAACCGAACAGCAGCAGCAGCTGTGGCAAGGAGAGTCAAACTGCGCGGACGCGGCGCCTCCCAACGCCAGCCACGTCGTGGTCTTGTCACTCGGCGTGATAATAATAACTTCATGCGTCTGTGATATTTACACCGTCATCTAGATTGAACGTTATTCTGCGATACATCACACTGCATGGATCCAACATCCATGGAACAAAAATAATATAAAGGCAAAGTGTGTGGTGGGTGATGCTTTGTTGTCAGTGGTTTTTCTTTGCAAAGACCCAAATACGTAAATTCTTGTTTTGGCATTATTTTGTAAACCCTGCTTCAATTCTCAATCTTTGCTGTCTCTCTCTTTCCCTCCTCCTCCTCCTTGTGCTCAATCCACGCTGTCTCTCTCTCTTCTCGCCAACCCCCTTCACTGGAACAAACTTCCCCCTCCACATTAAGCGGTCACCTTCGCTCACGAGTCTCCGCTCCTCACCCAAAACTCACTTCTTGTTCCCAAGCTCACCCCCACGACCACCCCCCCCCCTCTTAACCCTCATAACCACCAACACCGTTTCTGTTCCATCTTCATATTCTCATTACGTGGCTATCACTCATTCCCCACTCATTCAACCCGTTCATCATCATTTACCGTCATCAATTTCGCTTTCACCGAATTCACGCTTCACAGATTGGCCACCCATTGCCTCCTGTCATCTATTTCATTCACCTCACCTCCACCGTTACGTTCACACGCGTCGTACCCTCCTTAATTATCTGTAAAGCGCCTTGGTTCAGGCGCAATATAAATTACATTAAGATAAGATAAACTCTGATTAATCACAACGTTTGGAACCTTTGGGTCTCTGCTCAGCCGCTGTGTTTATATATCCATACATTTATTTTTTTATATCGATTTTAAAAACTCACATTTGTCAATGACACTGCAGTCAAAGAAAGGTAGTCGTTTTTTTAATGATGCCACAGTGTCATTGAGGAATGCGTTCAGTTGTTATTCTTACCCGTCTTTTTGCACCACTGTCAGCAGCAGCATTACCAAATAACTTATTTACACACGAACTGTTTATGCTTTGGGTGTACATTCATTACAAGCCTTTTTCCCGTCCTAGGACGGAAGCTGTAATATTTACGAAACAATTTAGCAGAGTATAATTGTGTCATTTGTAAATTTAATGGCAGTGAATCTTGCACGAAAGTATGTCATCAAACACTTCACTGCATGTTACTGTAGCATTGTATAGAACTGAGCTTCAATTTGTTCAAATTCACTGCTCTGATACTTTATTCTCTTCTGCTTTCGGTCGCTGGGGTTGAGATTAATTGGAAATCGTTACAATATCTGGAAAATCACCGAGAAATGTCTATTTTACCATAATGTAGAAGCATAAATTAGACTTACCTTTCGTCTCAAGTGCTGAAGAAATAAACAAAGACACCAAATCCACTTTGTTGCTGGGTATGATCATTAATTAGATTCACTTTCAATAAAGAAACGTGAAACTTAAAGCGAATTTAGCAAAAAAAAAATGTTTCACTCGACCTTCTGTGTAAAAATCAACCCGCTAATGAATATTAATGACAGGGGGGTGCGGCATGTGGAGTGACGTCACGCACGTTACACACAAGTATTAATTATTTAAAATGGTTCAAACTGGTGACTGCCCTACGGTTGCTGTCACCATTGTCGATAGCGCGGTGTTTTGTTGCGATGGGCCATGACAGACGAGTGACGTGGCACGACAATGCTGAGTCACATCACCGTCGGCGTAAATCGAGAATCCCATGAATTACCACTTTCACTTTTTTTTTTAATCACTGCTAGTCGTGGCAGTGTTATGGATAAAGGAATAACTTACAATGTTTTCATACTCTTTGGGTCTTCCGGTAAAGTCACGTCGATAGAAAAATAATTTTTAAAAATCACGACGTTTCGGTCGCAACACGAGCAGTCGTCTTCAGGTGAAAAAATACAGCAGGAGAACTGCTGAGGCAGGAGAAATACAGCAGGAGAACTGCTGAGGCAGGAGAAATACAGCAGGAGAACTGCTGAGGCAGCAGAAATACAGCAGGAGAACTGCTGAGGCAGGAGAAATACAGCAGGAGAACTGCTGAGGCAGCAGAAATACAGCAGGAGGGCTGCTGAGGCAGCAGAAATATAGCAGGAGGGCTGCTGAGGTAGGAGAAATACAGCAGGAGAACTGCTGAGGCAGGAGAAATACAGCAGAAGAACTGCTGAGGCAAGAGAAATATAGCAGGAGAACTGCTGAGGCAGGAGAAATACAGCAGGAGGGCTGCTGAGGCAGCAGAAATACAGCAGGAGGGCTGCTGAGGTAGGAGAAATACAGCAGGAGAACTGCTGAGGCAGCAGAAATACAGCAGGAGAACTGCTGAGGCAAGAGAAATACAGCAGGAGGGCTGCTGAGGCAGCAGAAATACAGCAGGAGGGCTGCTGAGGTAGGAGAAATACAGCAGGAGAACTGCTGAGGCAGCAGAAATACAGCAGGAGAACTGCTGAGGCAGGAGAAATACAGCAGGAGAACTGCTGAGGCAAGATGTTGTATAGGTTTTAGATGCGTGCAACCCAAGGGTAAGTGGGCGGGGCTAGAGATGGAATTTGCATGTAAATGTAAGATCGGAGAGCCTGATTTACCTCACGACTACGGTGCTGTAGAGGCGGCCATTGTATTGCACGAAATCAGCATGTCAATCTGTAAGTTTCATGTAAATGTAAGATGTTTCGTGTCCCGCAAATGTCCCATGTGGGCAGCTGAATGATAGATTTCACACTAAGCGTTGCTTTTTCTTGTGTTGTTACAGGCGGCTTGCCGAACGTTTGAGGTGCGATCACTCCAACTCAGAGGTGAGCTGCTCTCTGTCTGCGGGCCACTGTCTGTAATGTTCTCTCTTTGATGCCCAGGTGCTTGTGTGAGTGGTCCCACGCCCATCCTGGTTTCTTATGACCGACCGTGTCCCGTCTTAGCATGCCTGTAAGTTGCCATTGGCTGCACAAACCCCAGTGAACTGGATAAACTAAACAATACAAAAACTCTTTGACATTTTGATTTTACCAGGAAAGGTTCACTGAGCTATGTAGCTCCTTTTTTCAGAAGCGACCTGGCCACAAATGATAGCTCAACGAAGTGACTTGTCGTGTGGACAATGTATCGCAGCCAAATACTGTCAACGCGTCTCTTTAAATGTGCAGGGGAAAAATCCACACACCACGGGGAGAGAAACATACAGCAGGCATCAGGCTCAGGATCGAACCCACAACCTCCTGCATTCCAGGCGAGGTAGTTAACATCTCGCCACAGATCATTAATATCCGGGGTGGAGGATTCGGTTTCTTCCTCACTGCCCCGGATAGAATTCAGAGTGAAGCAGCCAGGGTGACTGGCGATCCAGCACTCGATTATTCGCTTCATTCACTCGCCCACCGGCTGTAAGTCGCCTCCCTATCACTCTTCTATCGCTACGACTACCGTGGTTAAGACTACCGTGGTTACGACTACCGTGGTTACAACTGCCGTGGTTACGACTACCGTGGTTACGACTGCCGTGGTTACGACTACCGTGGTTACGACTACCGTGGTTACGACTGCCGTGGTTACGACTACCGTGGTTACGACTACCGTGGTTACGACTGCCGTGGTTACGACTGCCGTGGTTACGACTACCATGGTTACGACTGCCGTGGTTACGACTGCCGTGGTTACGACTACCGTGGTTACGACTACCGTGGTTACTGTTCCCATGAACTTCGCTCATCGATTCTCCCACCCATTCTGGGGCTCCGTCTACCAGACTGGCTGTTTTGTCTAATTCACACTCAACCACTCACTCACCCACTCACCCACTCACTCACTCACCCACCCACTCACTCACCCACTCACTCACCCACTCACTCACCCACCCACTCACACACTCACCCACTCACTCACCCACTCACCCACTCACTCATCCACTCACTCACCCACTCACCCACTCACTCACTCACTCACCCACTCACCCACTCACTCACCCACTCACTCACCCACTCACTCACCCACTCACTCAACCACTCACTCACTCACACACCCACTCACCCACTCACTCACTCACACACCCACTCACTCACCCACTCACCCACTCACTCACACACCCACTCACTCACACACCCACTCACTCACCCACTCACTCACCCATTCACTCACTCACTCACACACCCACTCACTCACCCACTCACTCACCCGCTCACTCAGTCACTCACCCACTCACACACTCACCCACTCACTCACTCACTCACCCACTCACTCACCCACTCACTCACCCACTCACACACCCACCCACTCACTCACTCACTCACCCACTCACTCACTCACCCACTCACTCACTCACCCACTCACTCACCCACTCACTCACTCACCCACTCACTCACCCACTCACTCACCCGCTCACTCATCCACTCAATCACCCAGTCACTAATCCACTCACTCACTCACCCACTCACTCACCCACTCACTCACCCACTCACTCACCCACTGACTGACCCACTCAATCACCCACTCAATTACCCACTCACTCATCCACTCACTCACCCACTCACTCACCCACTCACTCACCCACTCACTCACCCACTCACCCACTCACCCACTCACTCACTCACCCACTCACTCACTCACCCACTCACTCACCCACCCACCCACTCACTCACTCACCCACTCACTCACTCACCCACTCACTCACTCAACCACTCACTCACCCACTCACTCACCCACTCACTCACCAACTCACTCGCCCACTCACTCACTCACTCACCCACTCACTCACTCACCCACTCACTCACCCACTCACTCACTCACCCACTCACCCACTCACTCACCCACTCACTCACTCATCCACTCACTCACCCACTCACTCACCCACTCACTCACCCACTCACTCACCCACTCACTCACTCACCCACTCACTCACCCACTCACTCACCCACTCACCCACCCACTCACTCACTCACTCACCCACTCACTCACTCACTCACCCACTCACTCACCCACTCACTCACACACTCACTCACCCACTCACCCACCCACTCACTCACTCACTCACCCACTCACTCACTCACTCACCCACTCACTCACCCACTCACTCACTCACCCACTCACTCACTCACTCACCCACTCACTCACCCACTCACTCACCCACTCACTCACCCACTCACTCACCCACTCAATCACCCACTCACTCACCCACTCACCCACTCACTCATCCACTCACTCACCCACTCACCCACTCACTCACTCACTCACCCACTCACTCACTCACCCACTCACTCACCCACTCACTCACCCACTCACTCAACCACTCACTCACTCACACACCCACTCACCCACTCACTCACTCACACACCCACTCACTCACCCACTCACCCACTCACTCACACACCCACTCACTCACACACCCACTCACTCACCCACTCACTCACCCATTCACTCACTCACTCACACACCCACTCACTCACCCACTCACTCACCCGCTCACTCAGTCACTCACCCACTCACACACTCACCCACTCACTCACTCACTCACCCACTCACTCACCCACTCACTCACCCACTCACACACCCACTCACTCACTCACCCACTCACTCACTCACCCACTCACTCACTCACCCACTCACTCACCCACTCACTCACTCACCCACTCACTCACCCACTCACTCACCCACTCACTCATCCACTCAATCACCCAGTCACTAATCCACTCACTCACTCACCCACTCACTCACCCACTCACTCACCCACTCACTCACCCACTGACTGACCCACTCAATCACCCACTCAATTACCCACTCACTCATCCACTCACTCACCCACTCACTCACCCACTCACTCACCCACTCACCCACTCACCCACTCACCCACTCACTCACCCACTCACTCACCCACTCACTCACTCACCCACTCACTCACCCACCCACCCACTCACTCACTCACCCACTCACTCACCCACTCACTCACTCAACCACTCACTCACCCACTCACTCACCCACTCACTCACCAACTCACTCGCCCACTCACTCACTCACTCACCCACTCACTCACTCACCCACTCATTCACCCACTCACCCACTCACTCACCCACTCACTCACTCACCCACTCACCCACTCACTCACCCACTCACTCACTCATCCACTCACTCACCCACTCACTCACCCACTCACTCACCCACTCACCCACTCACTCACCCACTCACTCACTCACCCACCTACTCACTCACTCGCCCCACTGCAGGTCTCGACACGTCTCTTTCTGCTTCTTCCCTCGCACTGCTGCACTTGGCATTCCCTCCTCCCGTCATCGTCGCTCTTCTGAAGTTGTTATAAAAACTTTGATCATTATATTTTAAAAGCCTGACAGTGTGGTGTGTTGCTTGTACCACGAATAGCGAGCATTGCTACCAGTTAAACGGTCCATTCTACTATAATGCTTGTTTTCATAACGCAAATAGATATAGCTTGATGAATGTATCAGGGAACACAACGCAAATGTGAATTGGATATATAACGCGATTAAGTGAACAGAACTACGTCACGCGAGTAGGAATAAGCGGCCGTACGGCTGCCTCGGCGTAGCATCGTACAAGGCATTGGAGTGCTGCTGGATGCCTCAAGATGCTACCCACGCGTCTCAGTCTGTGTTCAGCCTGCGTACGCATCTCACGTGCCATTGTGGACTGTGCTACACCCTATATTAGTTGTCTCGCCTTGCATACAACTTGGTTACATTCATTTAAAATGAGTGGCTTCGCGACTAACACTGGAGCACGCATTTTTTAAAACTCATTTTCATGCTTTTTTTAAAATAAATAATCATCCAACTGAAACAAGGTCATTATGAAAGAACACGTAAAAATCTAAATGATATCACTAATTATCATAAAAAAGGTCAGCTATGTTGGTGTTTTTTAAACCTACTACCTGCCTTCCATTGGATCGATGGTTGTTATTATAACGCGATGTTTCCATAACGTCGTGTTCGTCAGGAACACAACTACCATCGCCTTATAGGAGAACAGACTGCTTATATTTGCGATGGGTTAATGCTGAGAAAATACACGTGTGTTATCTGTTATAATGTTGCTGGCTGCTTTGACGCTTTAGGCATTGGGCCTGTGCTCAGCAGCAGTTAAAACAAACAAAAATATATATGAGTTAATTGCGTTGAGTATTTCCTTGGGTGTAATAAGTTATTGATAAATATATTAGTGAGTAAATGTTATCGTTCAACATTCAGTTATTACAGTTAAAAAATTACACGTTGCGCATAAAATGTATTAATTTAATTCTAGACGTCTTTGCAAAACGAGATGTCCTAATCTCGAGAGATTTTTTTTTTTACAGGTGAAATATTTTGATAAATAGAATAAATACAAGATGTCGTTCAGTGGCCACTCGTAACAGGGGCCTGCTGGGACGTACATTACCGTATTCATGAATTAAAGTGGAAATTGGCATGTCATAGTTCCTATTTCTATTATGTCAGTAAAATATTGTTCAGTCTTTTAGCGTTTGATTTTTTAAACATTTCCTCCAGAGTATTTTTAAAAATAATGGGCATTGTTTGGCACGGAGCACGTTGAGCGGCCATTGTGTAAATTGCCTTCCATGGGAGGTCAAAGCGCCCAGTGAAATGTCTCGGTGCATCGGGTCAACGGCAGTGACTCAAAACGAGTTTTCTGGTCCGAAAGTAAACCGCCAATGATGCTTCATTCCCACTGAGGTGCCACGACACTCGCCGTTTCCACGCGCACCTCGAAAAATAGCAACGCGGCCGGCCGACTTGGCACGAGAGCAAGCGGCTTGCACATCTGAAAGTTTTTT